TATATATATATATATATATATATATATATATATATATATTTACTTTTTAATCTGTCTCTTTCTTTGTGTTACACATCCTTCACTTTAGATAAGTAGTACCTAGTATAATTTAGTGATGTAAACTAGTGTAGACTACACATAGCAGGGGACAAAGTTGAGTCATTCAAATGTGAAGGAGAAAACCAAACTAAAAAAATGTTGAAAGAATAGTTATCCAGCAGAAGAAATTTTCAGAAGCTTATGTTTATTTATTTATTTTGATTGTAATCATTGAACACATACTGCCCTATATTTATCACATTTTTTAATTCCTCTTTTCTTTTTTAGTGATGTCCCAGTTTTTTTAGATTAACCATCAAAACTTACCTTTTGTTGTGAGGGCCAGCATGATCTGTTTCAAATCTTCTTGTGAAGAAACCTTTAAAGAAGCAAACAGAAGAGACAGACATACAAAGAGTGAAATGGAAAAAAAAAAAAAGGGCCACCCCTCTTAACAACTGCACATATAATACCCCAAAATTATATAGGTTCTGATACCATGACTACATTCTAACTCAGTGTTTCTTTAACCCCAAGTGCTAGCTAATGAAGATTAGGTACAGTTAATACAAATATAAAACCCCTTCTTCCTAAGGACATTACCACAGAAACTAGATAGTGTACCTGTAGAGTTGTCTTAATAGCTTCAGGGAAAAACTGCTGAGCATTACAATTTTGGGACTCAGGGTGCCAGTTACAATCACTCCCACACTTGTCTATTCCAAGGTCAGAATACCTAATACCTCCCCTTTTTTTAAAGGCCTTTTGAATAAATAATATTATCTCCTTAATGCTGGTGGGGGCAAAAAATAGGGCAGACATAGACAACAGCAAGTTCCAACATCAGTAAATATCCATCTATGAATATTTTTGACCCAGATGAAATTGAGTAAACATGAAGTAACAAATCTAAAAAGTCCAAAATCCATCATCTTGTTGAACATTATTAATGATATCTTTAAGGTAGTCTAAGTCTTTTGAAATAAAATTACTATTATAACTTAAATTGAAAGAACACATGTTATTAAACTTCTGATATCCTTTATGATGTAATAATAACAGACAATCAGTTGCTGCATGATTGTAAAGTATGGCTTGACAATGTTGTTTTTGTTTTTCATTAAGCATATTTACATCCATGGAGGCATGAATAATTCTGTTTATGAGAGCATAGGCGAGTTTCATAGAAGTTTTATAAGCCCGTAGAGCTAGTCCAGGTAAACCCACTAAGGACAATGTCAAAGCATTAAATTCTGCCTTAGAGAAAAGCTTCAATGAATCATCACAGTTTTTATCAAGAGGCATAGACCTTTTATGAATAAATTGCACAGGATGGTGACCTATTAAATACTATGTGGATGGTAAGGACACATTTTTCTGCTAAGACAACAATGAATACCATGAGACATTTTTGCAGGTATGTAACAATTTTATGCAAATGAGTCAGGATATCGTAATGGGTTGTAGAAGCCCAGGATCTGACAGTACTTAATTTCCCAGAGCTGGTGTACAAAAACCGAGCAAAATTGTTATTAAGACCAAAGCATTTACAGAGTTTTGTATGAGTTTAGCAATCAAAGCAGTAACAAAGTTATCTAGAATACATTCTAACCTCATTTTAGCCAATAATGTTGAGCTGAGGCTGTTAATGGTTTTATATCCCCCCAAGTAACTAGAATTCAAGTACCTTGGGATCCTCTTTTAATGCTTCTCCTCTTTTGAGTAGAATGGTTATTCTCTTGTTTGGATGAACTCTTATCTTCCAAGGTTAAATGAAACTTAGAAATCACCTTGTGAACTTCCTGATGTACATTCATAATTGCTATTTTTCATGCATGAAGGTAGAGTCCAAACAGGACATGTTGGCATAAGTGTAGCAGTCTATGCTTTTCCCCACATGATCTAAGGCATAGGATCTTGTCATGCTGGTCAGGTGGAACCTCATATATTACATAATTTTTTTGGTAATGGCTGTTTGAGAATAAAATGTCTATTCAATGCAGATGACCAATTTTGAGTATTAACTTTATGTTGTATATTGAGCACATTAACTGTAAATAAAACAATATTTAATGCAT